AATCTTAACTTAAGCAAAGATGGATAGTGCGTAGCAGTGGAATCCGAGATGCGCGTTTCGTCCTATTTGAGACTAGTCAGCTGGATGTACCTGCATCTCAGATTTGATGTTCACTCTGCGACTCGAATGCAATAACTATTGCTTCCAACGCCATCGCGTTATCCACTCAGCTACTGATTCCTGATAGCCACTTGCTTGTACAATGGAGTGAAGTTGAAATTCATTTAGTATTGTTTGTTTGAATCTTTCCATTGATGTTTAGGACTGCAACTGGTCAGTCTCTAATTGGCACAAGCAAGTGACTGTCTGGACTCAGTAGATGAGTGGATAACGCAATGGCGTTTAAAGCGGATGGTACTCATTTGGAGTCCCAGATTGAACACGAACTCTGAGATGCAGGTACATTCAGCTGACAAGTCCCAAATAGGACTTGACACACGTCCTGGATTCCACTGCTACGCACTATCCATCTTTGCATACAATGCTTGTGAATCAAGGCTGTATCGAGGCAATACGTACAGTATGTACATATGCCCATAAGAGACTGACCACTTGCAGTCCTAAACATCAGTGGGAAGAGTCAAACAAGTAATACTAAGTAAATTTAACTTTTATCTTAGTCAGTTTCACTCTTGCATACAAACACCTAGATCACTTTAATTCGAGTCCCAAATCTCAGCTAATGACGCTTCTTACGTGCTTTCACAAAATAAGAACTTAGCACTTCATGTTTACTCTCCTATTAGCTTTTCTGCCTTATTACTTTTCCTTGAGTAAACGTATTTTATTGTGATAATATCATTTGACAAATTGGACTTAATCACATCTTTGCCTTCATTTTTAGCCTTCTTCACTGACCCATATGACATCCTGGAAAAACATAATGCTGGAACGAATATGTTAACTTATGAATTCAGTATTTGCAAAATCCCATTGTATAATTTATTGTACAATCTCAGCGAATAAATTTGAAGTACCCAGTACCCATGAAACTTTTTTGACGATTCATGCAATGAAAACGGTAGTTATCGAATGAATATTTTTCATATGCACATACAATATGTATATATTGCTAGAAAATTCTATGCATAGTAGCATTACTTTTGTTTTTCTACTTTAGCTGAAGCGTCGAAAAGAGGTGATATACAAATACCACGTAAATGATGAATTATATTACCTATGCTGATCTAAATACATGCAACATATACACTGTACGAGATAACTATAATTCCATTCCATAACATTGACTGATTTGTTTAGGGAATCTGGCGAAAACCTAGAGTCATTTTAAAGCTTGACAGTCCTTAACTGTACGAATCAACTATTCAAGTGGCGATCAAACCTATAAATTTCAAACACCTCACATAGTCATTCAATTGATATTGTTGAGGTGTATCTTTCGCGTGTTTACTCACATTAACAAAACAACAGTTAAATTCCCACAATGAATTTTCACTATCAGTTCAATAGCAAATAAAATGATTTGACGTAAGTAATTCCGGATGGTTTTCAAGTATCGTGAGTTAATGAACAAGCGAAGACCTGGTTCCATCGGCTTATAATAATTGCAAACACAATGAACAAGTCTATAGCATGTTTAAAGTATTCTAAGTTCTCGAAAATTTCAGACAATTCGAGATATTTCTTAATATCATGTTTCACATTTAAGGGATATTGAGTATCGCAAGGTAGAGTTTCCTATAAGACATGTTTCTTAGTGACAAGCCAGGACTGACAAATGTAATAATTAAAATAAGGAAACACGGTTTGATGAATGAATTATTTGCCACGTGAAACCATATAACTCACTGAATGTTTTATTTCTCACAATTCGAAGAACACCTAACAACTATTTTTAGCTTGATTGTTCGACCATCTTAACCCATATTTATATTCATAAAACAATGAAGGCTATTGAAATATATTTATGTGAGTATAAATAATAATCCGCTTCTTTGAACTTCATCTTAATACCTGAGAACAGTGGTGAGTATTAGTATCCGTAACGAAAATAGACTGATCTTTTTAGCGGAACACTTTTTTTGATTTAGCAGTCAAATAAAGAATACAAAACGTACATTTATTAACCAAGCAGAAGTAATCCCTACCCGTTTGACATTACTTTCAAGTCATCATATTTGTAATTAAAACTTCTTCGAACTAATAAAGATCACATACATAACTGTATACTTTAATTTGTCCAGTATCTATTGAGTCGAGCTCGTAAAATGGAATAAAATTCAAGGAAAACATACACTGAAGAATACGAATGGTAAACAATCCACACCTCATGACAATAATCTCACGGAACTCAGTATTACAAACCGTAGCCTTCCATCAATAAGTATCAGATTCTGTTATCCTCCGTAGATTTTGAAAATACCTGTGGTTTCATTGTCAAAGTTTAAACCTATCGACAAAGAAATTTTGACGATATACAATCACAGTTCAGTAGTTATAAGAATCTAACATACATTATTCCTACAATTGAAGCATTCCTTTAGTCTGTTCGTTTGATTTTAGAAATTGCATATTTTCTATTAAGCCAATCAACATAAATCGTCAAACTCTTCTTCAATTTTGTTTTTCTGTTTACAGAAGCCGTATTTCAAAGTTTTGGGAATACTTTATGTATGTCATATATGCACACATACTTTTTAATCACTAAGTAATCTGGCATACATAAATCCCTCTCGCAATGCATACTGTTTTAATCAATTCAGTAGTTTTATGAGAGCTCCTGAAAGTAATGATACCTATTACTCAGTTTTTGCAAACGTACATCCTGACTGTTCTATACAAATATACTTTAGGCAATCATTGTTCCTAGGTGTTTGAGTAAAAATACATCTGAGCTGTTCTACATATTTCCATAAATGTTTGATCTATTTTACTTTGTCGTTTCAGCAAACCTGAATAGGCATAGAAATACATAATCCTCCTGTGAACATAGATTTAATTCATATTCTTCTTCATTAATTATTTGCATACTCATATTCAATATGTATTAACTTCATAACTAATTTGGCTTTGGGCAAGCTGCATAATCAACGATCGAATCACCATTGAAGCATGTGCACTGAACGCTCACTTGACCTTCATGATAATTGACAGTCAACACTTTTGCAGTTTTCGGAACTATGTATTCGGTTTTCTATAGTGTTTGAGTTTACCGAAGTGTTCTTATTATTATGTAAAGAACTACCGTACATAGGTAGTGCGTGTTATGTTGATAATAGTACTTACTGTAGTGAGCTACTGAAGTCATTAAATTTATATTGCCTTCTGGTGTAACCAGCCAATTAATACTAGGCAGCATCGTATTAGCCGATCTTGTAACAAAGATTAAGCGTGATTTTGTACGTTCGCTAGCGCAACACGTTCAACATTGTATTCACATGCTGTGATCATTATTTGATACGGACACTTCTCTGATGATTGTGAGAGCTACATTTGAAAATCCTCAGTCATTTCTATAGATGCTTTTAACATAACGCTGTAAGATCATCTTGTTTCTCAATCATTTTATAGATGCTATACACTATGTATACTATGTCTTATATATTTCTTTTTCTTATTTTTAGTTTATGCCAGAAAAATTGAACTTCTCTTTTATTCACCTTTTTTTATGCAGTTTCTTGATTATTTCTACCATGTATTACTTCTCATTAGTGAATATTTAATTTTGAATAAACAATTTTTATTTTGACCTTTTCAGTCAATGTACTTTGCCCTATCCATTGTTCGATATCTGTAAAATCTTAAGCTGATTTACCTAATTAGATATATTACTAGTTCTATTGAGTACATTATTCTTTACTTTTATTCGGTTGTGTTTTTGGATTGCCATTGGTTTAGGATTAAAAAAAATCACGTTTGACGCCGGACAAAAATTTCAATCATCTTCACAATAAACAAAGATGGATAGTGCGTAGCAGTGGAATCAAGAATGCTCGTTTCGTCCTTTTTAAGACTCGTTAGCTGAATGTACATGCATCTCATATTTGATGTTCACTCTGGGACTCGAAACCAATACCTTTCGCATCCAACGCCATTGCGTTATCCATTCATCTACTGATTCCAGATAGCCACTGGCTTGTGCGTCCTGGATTCCACTGCTAGCCAATATCCATCTTTGGCTATAATGCTTGTAAATTAAGGCTATATCGAGAAGATACGCACATTATGCATATATATCGATGAGACTAATCAATCGCAATCCTAAATATAAATGGAAGATTCAAAAAACAATACCAAGTAAATTTTTGCAATAAGTTAAATAGATATGCGTTTTCCGTTTATACGATCTGGTGTTTTATTTGTAATGTGAAATAAAACTGTTTTGAAGATGAAGATGATGCTTAAAATAAGTGAAAACCCTTTAACTTAAGCTGAATAAAAATGACTTACTTCGAAACAGATGTTATCTTACTCATGTTTTGAAGAGGGTGACTTGAAAAAACGATAAGTTGCAGTAATTAAGATCAAATAGTTGCGGAAAGAATTTATAGACCGTAAATCTCATATGTCCAGGGTTACGAAAATATTTTTGCTCCGTCAAAATTTTTCCCTGGTCTGTTATTGAGGCACAGTTGATTGACATACCTTAACTTTCAACTCCAATATCAAGCCTATCAACTATCAGTCCAAACATCAAAAATTTATTCGGAAACTACAAGTAATCAAAGTTGATATATTGTCCAAATAGTTATCGTATTAACTGTGCAGAAAATATTCAAGATACAGTTTTCCGAAGCATTTTTTCCAAAGTCCTGCTTGAGGACACCAGCGTTTGATTCTTCTGAAACAGTTTCCTTGAATTTTTTTTGGAACCTCATTGACAGATAATGAATCATAATCAGTGTCTATGAAAAACGTATTGGATTCTTGATTATCATTTAATGCATCTGACATTTTTCTCCCATTTTTATAAGAGAGTTCAACAGGAACATATAAATCATCAAAATAATCTAAATCTGGCAGAACAATCAGAGAATCTTGATCATTAGATTCATTAGAAACATTTTTAGCATTATTACTAGTTTCATTTGGCTCCACTGTATTAACAATATTGCTCGATTTGTTTCCCACTTCTTCATGCGTGGGTACTGTAGCACTTTCATAAGCATTTAGCAAAACATTGTCTTTCTGTAAACAGGTTGATCCACTGTTTGCACTTTCGTTATCGGGGTTAATAGGACTTGGACCATGTATAGAGCATGTCTCCGTAACAGACAGTACCGGACTACTGGGCTGATCATGTAGGACTGCTACTGCTGCATTTAAATTACTGATGGCAACGAACAATGTCCGGCATGAGTATATTATTAGACGACATAGACTATGGAGAGAGAGCAGAGATGAGATATTCGCGAATTTCTCTATTTTCAAATAAATGATTCTAAGTGACATTATGTTCCCTGACAAACTCATGCATAAATCTTCACCGACCTCGTCAGATCAAACTACACAAAACCAGAATTATCATGATTGCAAAAGCAAAATTTTCAAAAAATTAGTGGAAAATGGCAAGGGAGATTAGGTGCAGTATCATTGATTTTTCTTTTGTGATACCGAGAAGAAACCTACCTTTTTTCTAGGAAAGGAAAGGGCTCGTAACATTTTTGAATCGAGCGTTTTCGTTTGGACAAACTGTAAACAATAACTGTGAAATACTTTCTGTGAATGACTCTCGAACACATCATTTCTAGGCTGTTCAATCGTGCGAAAATAATGGTTAAGTGGTGTTTCATCAAACTGTGCATGGCCTAGTAGGGACTGTCTAGCGGTATTAAGTTAACGCATTTACAGTCATAGTTTACTGATTCAGTCATAAGAGCGATAATATGCTGAAAATGCTCACCAACTGAGGGAAAGTATCCCGATATAATAAAGAGGTGAAAATTCAGCATGCTATTTAAAGTGCCAGGTGAAGTCTTCAAATCTGTTGAAGGCTAGCATAAACAGATTACTGACAAACCGAAGGATGAAACGATATTTGTTGATAGATTCTCACTCAAATACATATTTTGATGTGATTATGGATAATAAACTCGTCAACTATCCATCTTTGCTTATAATGCTTGTGAATTAAGTCTTTATAGAGGTAATACACACAGTATGCACATATGCCGATAAGAGACTCATCAATTGCAGTCCTAAACATAAATAGGAAGATTCCGATAAACATTACCAGGTGAAGTTTCTTCATTATTCAAAGAGAAACTCGACAATTTAGCCTCAAATTATTATCTAAAACATTCCTAGACATATTCTATATGTTCATCCTCATACTAATGAATAGATACCAACTAAAGATGTTGGATAAAGCAAAAAAAAGAAACAAAACCTCATTGCCATATCCGAAGATGAAACATTGGTGTAATATAATTAGACATTTACAAATTTAAACTAATTTGTTACTGCATGACACCGAGAAAAACAGTTGTTTCTATGAAAAAACCATTTTCATGCCAAGTTTTTTAATTAGATATAAGGTTGAGTTAACATGGTGGTCACAAGTGGCCAACAGGAAACCCTGGACCTGGATTTCGTGCTACTTGGCACTTGTCAGCAATGTGTACCTGTAATCTTGAGGGAACTGGTGCTCCTTGACGGATTCGATCCCATGTCACTCAGCTTTACAGTTGAGCTATTGGAAATAAAACAATAAGAATGTCGATATGAATGTACTTGAACTAAATTTAGCTTCATAGATCTTAAAGATTGTATTTTGAAAAGCAGATTTCCGTGAGAGAAAAAGTGTACTATCAACCCATAACCTATGGTTATCATTTAAATGATTGTAGTCTAATCAAGAAATAGGGTATAAATGGAAAAATTCCTTAACTGTCTGGATGTAACAAAAAGAAAACATCTCATTATTAACCCTATTGTGATATATATTGCGCTTTGTAAATCAACGCAAACTTGTGCGTGGAACCATTATACAAATAAATGCACTTGGTATTGTTCACTAGAATCATCTCATTGATAGTTAGGACTTTAAATGATCAGTCTCTTGTTGGCATACGCGCATACTGTGATGATTGATTTGATATTGCCGTAAGTTACAAGGTTTATAAGGAGAGATAGATAGTGGTTAGTAGTGAAATCTACGACGCGTTTTTCGTCCCTTTTGTGAAGCGTCAGTTGAATTTACCTGCATCTCAGTGTTGATGTTCACTCTGGAGCTCAAATCCCATACCGTTTGCTTCAAACGCCATCGCGTATCCACCAAGCTACTGAGTCCTGAAAGACATCTACCTGTGCAATCGGGTAAACTTCTAGCTTACAGATGAATTTTAATTTAAGAAATGAATGATATCTACCACAAAGAAATCTTAATTTTGCAACTGATTTGACCACGGTGAAATCACAATCTTATAAACAAAGGAAAAGTACAGTTATGATGATTATAACATCAACAAGGTGATTTGCTTTGATCAAGTGTTTCATGGCTACGTTCTCTTGCAAACAACTTCCGACCTTAGGTTTGATTATTTAGATTAGATACTTTCAAAATTTACAATGGTCTTTCTTCAATTCAATCATTTACAGTAGAAAGAAAATATCCATTGTATCACTGAAAAAAGATTCATTGATGACTCGTTTTCTTATTTGATTTTATGGACAACAAAATACTGTAGTCAATTAGGAAATGAGCTTCATAGACCATCTCTAGTGGCTGATGATTCCATACACTCTCATTATGTTATAGAATTTAGTTCTCGAGCCAGTACTCAGCCTATAGACTAATAAATTTGATGAAATCTATTGATTAGTATTTACATTATTCATCTTATGCAGAAATGGTATAGACGTCAAATGATTTCTTTCGTTGATACTGACATCATCCCCCGTGGTATATTGAACATGGTGGTCGCGGATTGTGACACGAATGAATCGATTCCTCTGTTTAAGTTTGCCAACTTGTCGATTGTTGCAAGTATGTATAAACAAGTGCAAAAGATCGACTTGTGTGACTGTTGTTTCTTTGAATGTATAGTGTAATGGAATGACGTATCATAGAATGATAATAATTACGATTACTATAGGAATAGAGCTTTTAAAGATTTTTCTATTAACGTGTAAGGAAAGCTTGCTCATTTCGCTTCGCAAACTTTTATAATCTTTGTCCAAATGTTTTCTCTCTATCCAATGAAAATATGATTCCTGTTGATAAAGTAACGAGGTCATCACGTTTATTTTATCGATAGTAAAAAACCGACGAGTAAACTACTCCCTTCTCATATTATGCAGGAGTGCACAATAGGTTTCTCGAAAGTTATAAGCTGAAAATTCTTCAGGTAATTACCAGAAAAACTAACCTTTGATAATGATCAACGAATGCGTTAATTCCACACTGTCTCACGCATTTAAATCTTCGACTTTTGCTTGTAAGTGAGTGTGTTCAGAAGATACAAAAGAGCCTTGACTCGTTGTTGAATGTCCCCTTGTTGCGGAGATGTCCCCAGATATTTTATTTTCCGGTGACTATAAAAAATAAAGTGAAACTAACATGTTCATGTCAATACTCAAATTTATTTCAAGACACGAAATATACGCCATTCTTTCTGCTCAAAAGATATTTAAAATTTCAAATGCGCTACTGAATATTGATGAGTAGCATGGGTTAATACATGAAAAAGTAGGTAAGGGAGTAAATAAAAGCAGAATGTGCTTCACATTGATTGATTGGATATAGCAACACAGAGACAAAATGAGAAATATAGAAGGAGTTAAATTCTCATAAGCGAAAGAAGATATAATTACAGTGATATCCAATGCGTCGGTTACGACATACATGTAACTTCCTCCCTACGTATATTTTCTGTACCTAACTTCGAGAGATCATCCCATTATATAGAGTTATACATTCAGCACCGTTTATCTTTGATATTTCAATGTTATTCCATCAACGATTGTTAGTATTTCTTATCAAGCCACTCTACCATATCAATGTGCACGCTATTATTTGATGAGAACCCATATTACTTACTTACTTACGCCTGTTACTCCCAATGCAGCATAGGCCGCCAACCAGCTTTATCCAACTCACTCTGTCCTGGGCCTTCTTTTTTAAATCTATCCAGTTCTTGTTCATTCTTCTCATGTCTGTCTCTATTTCTCGGCGTAATGTGTTCTTTGGTTTTCCTCTTCTCCTTTGACCTTCAGGATGCCATGTGAGGGCTTGTCTTGTGACACAATGTGGTGATTTCCTCAAGGTGTGCCCAATCCACTTCCAGCGCTTCTTCTTGATTTCTTCTTCCGCTGGAATCTGCTTTGTTGTCTCCCACAGAAACATGTTGCTGATAAAGTCTGGCCATCTAATCCGAAGTATCTTGCGTAGACAAGTGTTAATAAACACTTGTATCTTCTGGATAATGGCTTTCGTAGTTCTCCACCTCTCCGTCCAATACAGTAGAACTGTCTTGACCCATATATAGGAATAAAAATAGATTATCCTCCATCAGTCATTATTATCACATTGTCAAGTTCATGAAAGAGAAATAAGTGCATGGATTTTAGTTAGTTAATAGTACTCCATGCAGTCACTCTCAAACCACTCATTTTCACTGAATACTCATACTAACATTCAACATTGACAATGAGACTTTATGAAATGTTCTGCCCTAGTCAGAGATCTAATGTAAGCATTGAGGAATCGTGCAAATTTTGTGTTTCATTATGGCTGTAGAATAATTAATTAATAGTTTCCTCTCACTTTCTTGATTAATAGTTTATTTTCTTCAAATAACATTGTTAATAATTCTTAGTAGAAAACCGACTCATTTGCCAGTATATTTTGTCTTTTAGTCTCATAAGAATATGCCAGTCGATAAAAACATTGACTTTATCCATATATATATATATATATATATATATTTATGATTCTTGTAAAAAGGTGAAGTTCAGAAGCAATGATGACTTAGCCGAATTCTATAAGTCAGAAATGCGAATTCATGTAGAACATATCGTCTCCGTAAAACAACAATCGCCTATTGTGTTATTTGATTCCGTATTGTGAAAAATTGTTCTTTATATCCCATATGAACTCCGCCTGTAGCTTGTAGTGTTGGTTGATATGTTAAGCCCATATACCTTATTTTAGCTTCTGGACAAACCAATCTACCTATCTATCTTGAGTCACGTTTTGACCTTCCTAATTATCCACTTATTAACTCTGTCTGTTTTTTATATGAGCGTATGTGTGTACACTTTTTATCTTATTCAACACATGTCTGTAACTTATTGTTGCCTGACTATAAATATTAATTACCGCTTGATTAAAGCGAGTTAACTTACCAGCAATCTCCAGTGTGAGTTATTTCCGCTTGCTGGATGTTATTTGCTCATGTACTTATAACTTTCTGGCCTGCGTTATTTGACAATAAACTGTAGCTGCCGCTTCTCTTTGCCTTCTGATTTTTATGCACCGTTAAGATTTGTATTATAACGGTTATCGAAGTAAATGATTAACAAAGTACGGCACGACATAATTGGTAATCCTGACGTGCGAACACACAACAGAATTAGCGACACAGACAAGCAAATACAAACTGAAAATAGAACCGCCGACAACAAACCTAACGCAGCAGCTAACGTCGATGGAGAAACTTCTGCATCTCATACTTTCGACAAACACAATCAGCGAAGTCCATGCAGCACAACATGGGCATTCTCGAATCGTATTATTTTATCGGTACTTTGTCCTCATGCCATTTCTGCTTGCTGATCCATCTGGCGGATTGTTCCATTATGATTTTAATAATTATCATGTATTGATTACTACATTAATGTCATATCATCACATAACGTGGAATTATTATTTTTGTTCGTATTGACATTAAATTATGACATTTACACAATGAAATAACCCTCCCAAGAAACAATAGTTTTATGGACACTACACGTTATGACATTCGAAACTCACTGGACTATTTTATTATTCAATAACGTAAAATTCTCCTGCTTTCAGTGAGTTCGTTTCATTTTTTTTCCATGTCATTTTAGGCCTATTATTACGCTCATTCACTTAGTAGAGGTCAATTTTTTAAATGTTATACCACAAAACATTTTTCATTTCCATATCGCCTCCTATTATGTCTGTGGATGTCTTTAATTTTTTCGCTAGGATCAATCACCTCTACTTGGTTCTCGATCATTAATCACATCAATGACTTAATTACTATCGTTCATTGTTGCGGATACATCGCTATCTCATGTTATATATTTCCGACGTCTTTATTATCTGCTAGTACACTGAATAACCTGCAACCTACGAAGTAAATTGCTGTTCTAGTGAACCACGCCTGCTCACGAATCATTTATGTAAGCAGTCGAGCGAACCTCCTGCACGCTAATAACGGCATGATCGCAACTTGACAAATGTCAGAAACAGTTAGCAAATCAATCATAGACATAAAATTGGAATCATACTTCCGATAACAGGAACTTATGTTCTCGATATTCAACTAATGTTCATTCATCTGAATGGAACGCAACAATCGTCGTTTCAGCGACAACCTAAACAGAACTTCAACAATTATTGTCTTACGATGATCCCTACTTTAATGTTTTTACACAAATCAAGTATTCGGCGCCGCATTACCAGCTGATTAGTAATGATAATGTTCATATTATTTTGTTCATTCACATGTATAATTGAATTCTGCATCATCTATTACCCATACATTCTATTGCACTATATACCAGAACATAGAGTTTGGAGCTAATCTCTCAATGATACACTCTCGTTCGTCACATTCAAATCAGTCTCACTTGCTGTAATCAATAATCGTATGTATTGACATTTTTATCATGCCTTAGTGCGGTCTCGTAACAAACGAGCTTGAACGCATATCCCTCTAACTACATGAACCACGCTAGGCTTCATAACCGAAAAAAGGAATACGATCCCGCATATCACTATCCTGTTCCTCCGGTTATTCTAATAATACATTGAAAACGATAACTCAACGCGAACGACAACGTACACTGACTGCGCATTTTATTATCATTATCAAAAGGAGTATAGCAACGAATATCACGCGTTTATGCAGTCATCATCGTGAGGCTGGATTTTTTTATCCCACATAAACTCCAGTTATGTAAATTCGAATCCACTCATCAGTAATCGACGCTGTTTACTCAACTGCGGCTTATTTGAACATCTTCATATTTCACTGTTCTTTATCCTCATATATAGATGGCATCACAGACTAGTTTCTGTTATATTCTACACCACATATTTCCTCGATCTATTCCACTGTGGAACCTATAAAAAATTTGCCACTAGATTTTCGGGATTAGCACATCTAGAGTAACTGCCGGTCCCAAGCCCGGGTAAAGGAGAAGGGTTGGATATGAGGTCAGCAAACCGATCCCATGGAAGTTGACTTTGCTAAAAATGACAGACCAGATTAAGCAAAATAAAATGTGAAGACTCTGCCCCGAGAGTTAAAGGAAGAGTAATGACGCCTCAGGATGAAAGTTGAGGTTCCTCGGAAGTCACGAGGCTAATGTCCTCTCTAACAACCAGAACAAAAATTTCTATCGGTACATGGAACGTCTTGACAATGTGGAAGACCGGGAATACCAGTCAAATAGCAAAAGAAATGAGGAGATACAAAGTGACAGTACTCGGAATCAGCTAAACTCACTGGACACAAGCTGGGCAGCAAAGGTACAGGAGAGATGCTGCTTTACTCTGGTCACTAAGGCGGAAATGCTCCACACACTCAGGGAGTTGCTGTAATGCTTCCCAGAGAAGCATGAACTGCACTTGTAGGATGGGAATCACATGGATCCAGGACAATCAAAGCATCCTTCAAAACAAAGAAGGAGTGGATCACAATGAATGTTATCCAATGTTATGCACTCACCAATGATAGCAACAACGACGATAAAGATCAGTTCTACTTGAGTCTGCAATCAATCAGAACTAAGTGCTCAAGGAAGGACCTCACCATCGTGATAGGAGATCTAAATGCTAAGGTCGGAGTGGACAACGCAGGATATGAATATATAATGTGACGACATGGACTAGGAGAGAGAAATGAAAATGGAGAGATATTCGCAAATCTATGTGCATTTAACAAAATGGTAATAGGCAGCACAATATTTCCACACGAACGCATACACAAAGCTACATCGATCTCGCCGGATCACACCACAGAGAACCAGATAGATCACATCTGTATCAACAAAAAATTCCGAAGACCAATGGAAGATGAGAGAACCCGGAGAGGAGCTGACATGGCTTCAGATCACTACCGGGTTGTGGCCAAGATGAGACTGAAGCTAAAGAAACACTGAACAACTGTACAAACAGCACCACAAGGGTTCCATACAGCCTTCTTTGGAGGTACTAACAAACTCAAGGAACTCAAAAATAAAGCTGCAAGAGAAGGAAATATGAGACAACTATATGATACAAAGGAGAAACTAGAGGAGAAATATAGCAAACCGGAGAGACCAGTAAAGGACAAAGAAGGAAAGACAATCACCGAGATTCAAGAACAGAGGAAAAGATAGGCAGGATACTTCGAGGAGCTGCTGAATAGACCAGCTCCATTGAATCCACCGGATGTCGAATCAGCACACACAGACCTTCCAATAGATGTCACTCCACCAACGATCGAAGAAGTCAATATGGCCATGAGACAAATCACAAGTGGAAAATCGGCAGGATCTGACGATATACCAGCTGAAGCACTGAAGTTAGACATTGAAGTAACTGCAAACATGTTTCATCTTTTATTCAAGAAGATTTGGGAAGAGGAACAAGTGCCAACGAACTGGAAAGAAGGATACCTCATCAAGATACCAAAGAAAGATCTAAATATATGTGAGAGGTACATACGCATCAGATTTTGTCAGTACCAGGAAGAGTTTTCAACAGAGTGTTGTTGGAACGGATGAAAGATGCAGTAGACACTTGACTTCCAGAATAATAGGCTGGATTCCGTAAGAATCAGTCATGCACAGACCGAATTGAGACACTACGGACCATCGAGCAACAATCTATTGAGTGGAACTCGTCACTATACATCAACATCGTTGACTATGCGGAGGCATTTGACAGTGTGCACCGGATAACATTATGGATACTTCTACGACACCATGGAGTTTCTGAAAAGATTGTCAACATGATCCGGAACTCTTACGACGGGCTACAGTGCAGAGTTATGCGTGGAGGACAGCTGACAGATTTATTTCCATTAAAGACATGGCTGTCTACTCTCCTCCTTCCTCTTCATTCTGGTGACTTACTAGAAAAGAAGCAGATCAACGAACTCATTACCCTGGAAAATAGATGCAAATATGAAAATGATGAATATCAAACTGGAAAGAACTGGAAAGAATTGCTCAGGACAGATTCGGATGGAGAATGCTGGTGAGCGGCCTATGCTCCTCCATGAGGGATAACTGGTGTAATTAAGTAGTTAAGTAGCATTGCAAACCATTTAGAAGTTTCATTTCATGTAAACTGAAGTTTATTGATTATTAAAGTGTTACTTAATAATTAGTCTCAAATACAAAAAAAAACAGTTACTGGAAACAAAATCAATCAATCAGTCAACTGACAACTTATTGACCATCAAATTCAATCTATGTCTTATCTATAATCAATCTTCAAATTATCATTTTATTTAACTGACAGCAATACACTTTTTTTTAAAAAAAAAATGCCAAATTCTTCTATTTCAATTCTAATTACATTTGTACCTTTTTTAATCAATAATTAATCAAATATCTAGTTACCATAGCAACTACTAGTAATAAAAAAATATTAAACTAATCAAATAATTGTAGTTAATTGATATAAATTTTGATTATATGTAAGAATATCAAGATCATTGATTTTTAAAAATGAATTTAATCAACTTTAATGTAACTTTCATGAATCATTCTTAGTTGTTTCATAATAAAAGATTAAAAGATATTTCTTATTAAAACATAATAATCATATGACATATTTCAAATATATTACTTATAAACAATGATGGTCTATTTAAATGTCTAGGCTAAATGTTCTTGTCTTTTAGATATTTCAACAAGTTATCTGTTGTTGCTTTTTGTTTGTTTTAACAGATCATCATGTCTGTTAACTGCATTGTGATGTGGATTACTGATAACCATATAAGTAGTATATGGAGATGGTCGAGTTTTGAATGTATTTCAGTAGAAGATTGATAAGGAGAGAACGGGAACAATTATAATTTGGAGACTATAGACGAATAGTTGCAGAAGGAACAGTCAAATTAAGACAATTGATTGTTATTTTGCAAATTAAGTGTTTACTATATGATTCTCATATTTTAATGAGATATTCTGTAAGGTTGTGATAAAATACATTTGATTGTCCCCAGTCGTGTTCTTTTTTACTACAGAATAATCTATTTAGAAGCGTTTTTGAAAAGTTGGCGACATTTTGCTGTACAAGTTACAAAAAGTTGCAATTACAGACATCGTGGTGACTGGTAATGGACATTGGAAAAGAATGAAAATTATTGAGATGTCGATTTGTAAACTGCTAACATCTAATCAGGGATCACTCAACATTTCGAAATTGTATCATTTGTGAATCACAGAGGTCATTTGATGAAGAACGTTACAATGGTTCGTTTTAAAGTTTCAAGTTGTCAATAATATAATAGGAATAAAATAAATCGTGTAAATATAATGTATAGCGAGAGAATTTTGTCTCGATCATGGAGATGATAATGATAATAGCTTTTTGACAATATAAGATGTAATGGAAGGGGTTCTGTGAACGCAATTTTGATGAGAGATAACTGTATAGGGTATAAACACAAAAGGAATTGGGGAAATGAGGGGTATATACTAACCGGTCTGGGTATTTGGTTATCTAGTCTTGAATCAAGTTTTACACAGAGGTTGAACACACCTCTTCTCGTTTTAGACATATTCGTTAGATTTGATTAAGTGGATCCAGATTGCTCCAGCTATGTAGAGGAGCCGTAGATTGATTAGAACGTAATGCTAGACAGTTAAAACTCCACCTGTTTTGATATTTTATTTGCCATCTACTAAGCGAGAAATGATGGCACCGTTAATAAATTTCGTGGCTCCTTTTCCCAACAGTCCACAAACAGGCAATGATAAAGACCTCTGAGTATGACCGATTTAACCAGCCCCAGAGGAGCAGTTTAATTAGTATACACACATGGAACAGTCCATCATCGGTATGGTAACATAACCTTCATTCGTTAAGCAAGGACTGGTTTGATTGTGAACAATACGTTCATCTTAGCGGCTTAAAATATCTTTTCGGCAGATGTCTCGAGTCGACGAGTTAAAATATCATCCACTATGCCCCATTAAAATCGAGTTTAAGATAAAGAGTTTTCTTACTAACTGTATATGTGTTTGGTCTATTTTTTTCGTTCAAATAGATAGATGTTTGAGGAAATTATCTGGACGACCGTTATTTCGTGATGCGTTCTTCACCTTGTGTACTTCATCATCTACACTATCGTCAGAACATAATAGTCTTATTCTGTGGTTGAGACATTTGATCAAATTTATGTTTCACTGAAGAGCTGTAAAGTTATCAAGATTGGTATACCGACCAATCCATGTATTCTTTCTCAATAAACTTCTCTTCGTCTGGCCTTTATTATTTCTATTAAACTGAAATCCTGAAGAGTAACGGAAACGAGGAAAGCCAAAGAACATACTGCACCAAGTATTAGAAGCTGACCTCGAAATGATGATTAGCAACTGCGAAATAACAGGAAACGATTTATCATGACAAAGTTGGATGGAGGATGTTGGTCGGTGGCCGACACTCCTCCACGAGAGTAACAAGCGTGAGTGAGTAAGTTTCATCTTTCTAGAAAGCAGGACATCAAGGAACAATACTCCGGCACCATTCTCCTCTTAGCTTAGCAATGTGATACCTAGTTGAATGTAATTGAAACTGTTTGATAGCTCGCTGTTGTTGATACCTTTATCAAAAAAGGTTATTGTGTCATCCATTTATCGACAGTGATAAGGTAGCGCGTTTTATAAAGGTCAATATTAGACTCAAACAAACTCATGAACGAGACATGATATTTACACGATTTATTTTATTTCTATTAGATTATTGACAACTTGAAACTTTAAAAACGAACCATTGTAACATACTTCATCAAATGACCTCTGTAATTTACAATTGATAAAATTATGAAATACAGTCACATCGGAACAGATGTAAAATTTCACCATATTAAACAAATGACATTGTGTATTTCACTAATGTATGTTTCATTTTTACTTTTGTAAATAGAAAAAATAAACACAGTAATTATGGACTTGAAACTGCAGAGACTAATGAAGAAATAATTGAGATCATGAGTCAATTGAAGCTAGACCACCATGGAAAACCTGGAAGCACTGGACGGCCGTTTCGTTTTATTATGGAACTCCTGAGCAGTGCGCATCCATGATCCCGCCTCACGAGATTCGAATCCAGGACATTAACACCGAAGGAAGCCGGTCATCTCAGTGGTCTATCGGTTGAGTGCACTGACATTAAACTGGTAGGTCCTGGGTTCGAATCTCACTCGCGAGACGGGTTCGTGGATGCGCACTGCTGAGGAGTCTCATAATAGGACGAAATGGCTGTCTAGTGCTTCCAGGTTTTCGATGGTGGTCTACATTCAATTGACTCATGATCTCAACTCTATAAAATTACTAAAATCTCCACAAAACCCCTTCATAGGAAAAATAATTTACAACAATTATTCGCTAGAATACGCCCACCCTGACTTTTATTTCGTTAGGTTCTCATCAGCTTATTACTACAGACATACCTGTAACTACGATGATGATTAAAAATGAATAGGTGTATCATGATGTCCATACTACTTACTTACGCTTGTAAGTAGTAAGCAAGTACAGTATGATATATTAATAATATATCATTACATTTTTTTGTATACAGTTCACAGAATAGCAATCTACAATCATGTTACAGGTTGGAAAAATAATTAAAATATTGGTCATGTTTTATAATGATTTACACCATTTCATATAATGCATAAACGATGATATTCTGAAGAATAAAAATGTCAAAAATAACAAACGTATCACTTATCAAATGAAAACAATTATGTAATCTGAGTATTAACCCACAACTGTTGTTGTTCACAGTTACGCAGTCAGTTGTCATGGCAACAGTTATTCATTCAGTAGAACAGTTTATTATTTATTATTATTTCAATAATATAATCCATTGTGTACCATGAAAATACTTAGAATAATAAATTTGATGATGAATATGATGGATGATTTGTTGATATTGGCGAAGCTTCCCTAGAATTCAAAAAAGAAGGAAAGTTAATTCAATTAAGTTGAGTTGTAATGTATGAATAAAAAAGAACATATAGATGAGTATACAATCATTGTCATGTATAGGCCATAGCAACTATCCTACAATTAATTTCCATTATGGTTGATTCTGTTTAAGGCCTTTTATTAACTTACTTAACAGAAAATGTTAATTGAACAGTAACAATTCGCACATCTCTCTGTGTTTAATACAACCATGTCTATATAAACGTGTACGTTTGATCACATGACAGACTCTAGATAAAATGTTGATCATTTCAATATCACCCGATGAATGATTCTCTGTTTCATTTATATATGTACTCAAATACTAATATCAGCATTTGTCTTACCTTGTTGAATCGTTATTCGATTTTCTATAAATTTGGCTCTGTATTTACTTGCATATACGCATTCACCTCTCAACTTCAAATTCACTCAATGTACTTGTAACTTTGTTGTAGTGTGATCTACTTATATCCATATAAGTAGTATATGGTGATGGTCAAACATAGAATGTATTTTGGCAGAACATCGATAAGGAAAGAACTGAAATGAAGTGTGCATATAAATTAGTAAATCATCTAGTCCGAAAGAAGATTTTATTCAGTGAAATTGAGATTATTTAGCTTGTTTGGATAGTGAATTTGTACCAGCATCCATGATTAAGTTCATAATCTATGCTTCGATAATATCATAATGTATCATAAAGAGTTGTGCAAAATGGTTTGAATATGATGATACGATAACTGTATCATCTGAAAACAATTACTTACTTGACTCAATAAGGGAAGAACTCGACAAACACTACCATCATTCGGAGCAGGTCCCAAATCAAGCATGAGACATATCAGTGAGTAAATATCAATCAGCTTGATTGTTTCTTTTAACTCTGTTGGTTGAATTTTAGCTATCTGAGGTCCTATCGCCATTAAAAATGGAGACATTTCTTTGTAATCGGGATCATAACCATGAGCACCTTTATTTTCTATTAACAAACAATTAGAAATAGTTAGATTTATTACCAATAACTCGATGTCAAATTTAATATAACTCCAGACTACACAAGTTTAAAAACAATATGAAGATACATTTCGGTATCACTCTCCCCACTCTCGGCAGTACTAGGGCATTCGGTCTAGAACATAAGAATCTTCCTCTCTTATATAATGTCATATATCTTCATTCTAATCATATCGATTGTTTATGCAACTACTGATTATAGTCATCATAACAAATGTGATCATGTTTTTTATCTTGATCATTAGTAGTTATAGTCACACAACCTTTACAATGCATTACCACTTTCTCTATTCTATCTTTGACTATATTTTAAATCAAGGTTCATTTTTGTCTTATTGTTCTTACATGATCAGTTTTGATTATGTTACAAACTACTCTCTCAATTACATTAACTTCAGTTATTTCGAATAAAAAACAGCATTCTGATAATAATCATATGCTCATTAGTGACTAGCTCCAAAAAGCATTTCCTGAAGTTCTAATGAGAAGCAGTGACCTGTGGAGTTCAACCACATCTGTTGTGAGATAGTAACTCACTGAAGACAATGGTGGACGGTTGCTCGATTTCGTGGATTAGTTGAAGTTATACATTAGCATCGTTGGATGCCAGCGCAGTAGTGTAGATGTTAAGAGCTCACACGCGAGACTGATAAGTCCTGGGTACGAATCTTGTGAGGCGGGAACGTGGATGCGCACTGTTGAGGAGTCCCACAATAGAACGAAACGGCCGTTCTCTGCTTCCAAGTTTTCCATGGTGGTCTGGAGTCAATTAACTCATGATTTCAACTACAAAAACCCCTTCTGATAAAAATATATATATGTTGAGATAACATCCATAAAAATGATGAGACTATGTAATAAGAAGTGTTCAGATAATTGGACCGTGAAATGCATATTTGAGGGAGAAAAAGTAATAGGAGTGGGTGAAAAAAATAAACAAAGAAAGAGTATGGAAAATAATAATAAACAAAATCATTTATTAAGGCAAAGGTAGAGAGAAAGGTGTTGCTAATTTCTTATGAACACAAAGACTTGGATTGTTGGCTTGAATTCCTATAGCTTCTACTATGTGTAATAGAAAAGACTGAACCCCATACGGAAAATTAGTAGGACTACGATAAATAACTTTAAATGACTTATTTATGCGTACTACATGACTACTGTCTATCAAATATGATAGAATCGAGCTGCGTGTTGTCTTGACAGTACTTTTTCCCAACCACGAACGGAGATGTTCACTAACTCTTTGGTTCAGTTGTCTGGTAGTGCGCCCAATATAGCTTACTCCACAGGAGCAGCTGATTTCGTAGATACACATAGAAGTTGCATAACCAGATAACTTATCCTTTAGTTGGGGAATCACCACAGATCGTGTCGAGTACGAAAGACAAAGGTCGGCTGCATTAAACGTTCTATTAACTGCTTTAGTCAGTCTATCCCGCAGTACATCATCAGCTAAATCGCCGTTGAATTGTAGTTTCAGGAAGAGTAGTTTCTTCGCAGCTGTTGATATCTTTATTTTCTTATTTGTTATATGCAAGTGTTTCTTCAGGAAACCTTGTGGATAACCCCCTTTCAATCATCATATTATGTATGACCTCTAACTCATTGTTGATTGAATCGACTGAGCAAATCTTCCTAGCTCTATTTGCCAGACATTTGACTACGTTTCTTTTATAGTAGAGAGGTACAAAGCTTAACAAGTGTGTGTAACAGAATCTTATTATTATTATGAATGTTATTTGAGTGTCTATATTTTTCTAATCATTGACCTATTTCCTATTATGAAACATTGATTCAAGCCTTTATTATTCTTATCACAACTAGTACACATGTCATCACACTACCAATCTGTACTCTTAAATTTATTATGTAATCCATTCCACTGTTATCATTGATTCATAAACTGCCTTGATTGGTTTAATCATTTCATATAAATTGCATATAAATATTACTGTATATTAGAGTAAAGCCTGTTGAGGATTTAATCGAAAACAATATTGTTCGACTGTATATATTGTTCTAAATCACAATATGGGGATTTTCACATTTCTAAGACTGTGTACAATCGTTTCTTATTTGATAAATCATTACATTAATCACTTCTTGTGTACATTCTTGAGGATACTCAATTAAAAGTGCACTGTCACAGAAAAAGTTAGAATACCAAATGTTAAAAAGTGCTCACTTACTCACGGTTATCCCAGACGTTCTGTCAGCAATAATCGTCCATCCAATATCTGCGTATACAACAACAGGACCAACTCGATCACTTGAACCATAAAAGAAACGTGTTGGCAGTTCTTCCTTCAAATAGACATTTAATCTGAAGTGTCGATCTTTCAATTTGTCGTATAATGATCGCACAGTATAGCCTAGGTTTTTATAAACGTTGATAGTAAGACTTACCCTGCTTTGGCCAAAGTGTCCAGATTTCTGCTGACATCTTAGGAGCAGATATATACTCATTTGGATCTATGTAATCATGAAGATATATAACTCTGTCTGAACTGACATTCGTCATTCCATGATCACTTGTTATAATCAGATTGAGGCAGCAACTAAGTGATGGTCGATTTTCAATCGATGTCAAGAGGTATTCTAGTCCATGATTTATCTCCTCAATAGCTTTGAAAACCTCGTCACTTCCCGCTCCATATATATGTCCTGCTCTATCAGGTTGATGATAATACATAAGACCAAGGTTAATATTTTCATGTTCAAACCAATCCATCAAAATATCAATTCGCTGAGTGAATGTAATGTTTTCATTGTAAGGTGTTAGATAATGAGTTGGTCTCTCACCTTTGATTATCGCCTCACTTCCAATCCAGAAAGTCACTCCACTTTTATGACCATGAAACTGATTCGTTACCCAAATCGGTTCAGCACCAACATCATAGAATCTAGAATCTGATGCTGTAGACTGATTTCTCGATGAGAATGTTGCATTAAGTGTTGGATCATAAAACACATTATCTACTATTCCATGACTTCCAGGATGCAATCCTGTTACAATTGAAAAATGTGATGGGAATGTTAAAGTAGGAAATTCATTTTCTATACGTCTTATATAAACTCCTTGATTTATAATCATATCAAATGCTGACATGCTTATATTTCTTTGCTTAGCCATATCAAAGTAATCATAACGAAATCCATCAAGAGAAATAAGTATTACTTTAGGAAACTGTTCCTCCACAACAACACCAGATGTATGGATTCTTTCAATATAAAGAAAGAAACAAATCAATAGTAGGATAATCATCTTTTTGCATAATTTCAATGCAATAGGTATATATTCATGAATTAGTGTTACATTTATATTGGATATACTATGCTGATTTATTACATTAACTTGTGACAATTAACCAATCACATCAAATATTCATAAACAATTACTTCACTTATAATAATTACACAGTGAAAGTAGATTCAATTAAATAATGTGCAACTATTCACATGACCTAATCTTCAATTTTCAGATCTTGATCTAATATTCTTCATTAACTAATGTTAATAAATGGAACCGTTGAACTAATCAAATCTATGATATTGGAATAACAACTAGGTAAACAAGATGTCTATTGTTTAATTTCATGAGATATAGAATTTAACGGATGTTCGATACACTAATAAACCTTAGTTATAAACATTTTCAGTGATACAACAACACAGTAAACATAATAAACTTTTTGTCAAGATTAGAACTGGTATGTAAGATGGACGCGATGCCCCTTTTGAAAATTTTTTAGAGAAAACACATTAAATCTGAACGAATGAACAGCTATCAACTTTTATAGATTATATTTACTAAACAACCCTGATTGGGATGCATACTGTGAATCAGTATATGTTGTAATTTATAGATCATGCCTGTAAAAATGGCGTGTACCTACCCTTGCAGAAATATTATTATTATTATATGCATGAAGTAAGTACATATAGCAGAAATCAATTGTAATATCTGACTGATATATTTCGGAAATCAATAACCCCTCTTTCTAACTAAGTCACATTCCAAATATTCACTGATGTCTTCAGGAACTAACTTTTAAATAAACAAATAAAACATTCTTTCCCAGAAACACTCTAATTGTAGTGATGAAAAGTGTATAGTTCGCAGAATTTCATTCATATCATTCTTAGAACACTCAAAACACTTGTCAATTATCTGTCTTCATTGTTAGGAACATATTAACATCTTTATCCCCTTCGTCATTCAATGTGATTTTCTCGACGTCAAAATATTCATTAGAATGCTAATTTTGTTTTCATTTTATTCCGTCAAGAAAATGATAATTATGAATCATAAGAGATGGATACATTTGAGATTTAGCCAACATGAGAATATAGTGGTTGTCACAACATTTCATCATACTAAGTATGCTCATAGGTCTAACTGAATTCTTCTATCCACTTAAAGAGTGTCATTTTATTCGCGGTGACTATCAAAACGTAACTGTTCTACACAGAATTCATTTGATGAAACTCTCATCACTTCAGAATCTGTCTGGAACAATATCCTGTGTCAATGTTTAACTGTATGATAAGCGAAAGATAACGATAATCATATCTCTGTCCCATTTGACTTCAACTATAACTTGTAGTTAAATCACTTTAATATTATAGGTGCAGTGAAATGTCACTGAGCCCGAGTCAAATCATCCAGCAGTTGGATCACTGAATATCGAACAAATCATCGATCTCTATTAAACTTAAGGATAACAAACACGCATCAGTTAGTTGTACGCAAGCGACTGCCTCATGTGATGGTGATCTCATGATCATCTCTGAAATCATTCTTACTAAAAAATTTACGTAATCTCGCTTTTTGAGTTATACAGTCTTTAAAGAAGCCACATTACTTTGATAATTTGAAGGTATGATACTGACAGCGAATTGTGACAATGAAGTAACCTAGTTTGTGGCGCCGTTCACGTCTAACTCCACTAGGCCTCCAATTATTCGATCGATCGTTTACAGACTGAATCGCAATCGTAATGATGATTGATGAACAATCGATCGAATGCATTTAATAACTATACATAAACTGCTTTGGCTACGAGAAAGCATTTGACAGAGTGGATAGGATCTTATGGAACCTTCTTTGATTTGTGTATATAACTGTGGAACTGGTAAAGAGGAGTTATTGAAAGGAGTTTTCTTTGTTCATATATCAGTGTTTGGATATGATGTGGATTTTTAAACAAACATTCGGACATTACAAGTAATTAGTAAATCAGCTTTCGATAGCAGAACACATAAATCAGGAATTACGTGAGAAAGAAGAAATTTACTGTTTTCATCATTTTACAAGAATGTTGGGTAGAAACTGAACAATCAGATGGAGTTTACTATTATTGAACAAAAGCCATCAATTTATTTCGTGATATGGTTTGTGGAGTATATTAAAAGTTCTTGAATTAAATTCTTAAGATCACCACTAACTTACTTGCGCCTGTTACTCCTTGTGGAACATACGACATTGAACATGATTCTTCAAACGACTTTCTCCTATGCCCTCTTTTATTTTCATGTGATCTCAAATGTTAACCATTTCTTCGATGTCTGCATCCAATTTCTAATACGATGTTTGCTTTACTCTGACTCCTTCCATTTCGCCTTGAGAATTCCAAGTTCACACTTCATAACAGACAACATATTACAGTCTTTCGATTAAGTATAAGTGGTTTACAGTTATTCCGTTAATGGTGACTGTGACAGACCAGTTCGTTAACCTGTTCAGTTATCATAATCTTGTTTGTTCTTGTAAAGAGATTTATGATTAGTGAGATTCAGGTAATAAATGAATGTACTGGATGAATCCAATATAATGATTGGAGTGCATTGGTTTACTGTAGGTGGGTAGATTTAGAGCTGAGCTTAGATTTCTTTTAAGAAAAAGGCTTTCCCAACTACAAAGAACTCCAAAAGATTGGAGCATACTACAAAACAACTAACATTCTTCGGAATGTTTTATTATTTCATTAATTACCTATTAAATATTTCATCTATTCACCATTCTCGGTTGATTTGTCTACGAAAATTGAATCAGTGTGATAAAAGACAAAGGTTTAGTCCATTTATCTTCTCATTCTTCTTATCATCAGTACGAGTAATTAGTACATTTTTAGATCTGATTAAAATGTAAAACTTTTATGTTTTGAAGACAAGTTAAATAATATCACTGAAGTGTATTACTACAAACGAGGAGAAGAGAAAACAAACTAAGCGGTACACAGGTTTGTAAACAGCTGTCTACTTAAGATAACCAGTTACCGCTGACCAAACATCATCAACAACTTCCTACTTTGGTAGAGAACAAACCAGCTTTCAGTTGAAGAAGAAATTAACCGAAGATCATGGAGGTGGATTATATACACATTGCAGAGATCATCAAACGTAATCAAAAGTGAAGTGTGAACTTGGAATTCTCAAGGCGAAATGGAAGGAGTCAGAGTAAAGCAAACATCGTATTAGAAATTGGATGCAGACATCGAAGAAATGGTTAACATTTGAGATCACATGAAAATAAAAGAGGGCATAGGAGAAAGTCGTTTGAAGAATCATGTTCAATGTCATATGTTCCACAAGGAGTAACAGGCGCAAGTAAGTTAGTGGTGATCTAAAGAATTCGATTCAAGGCTCAATTCAAAGTAGAAATTATCCGGAGCAAACGTTCTTAGTGGCCCTAGTGAGGTCCGTCCGTAATATACACTATGAAAATTATTTGTTTATAAAAGTATTTTATGTTTGTATTTTCATAACTTTGTTAATTATCCATTGTTGTACTACACTGTCCTCTCAACAATATTTTCATGTTGTATGACTGAACAGTTGACTTCCATTTATCAGAATTATACGACTATTCTAATTAATAAATTGTATTTACTCATATATTTACTTATGGAATAGTCATAAGTAGTCGGCCCCAATAAACGACGTATGCTGTATGTACTTAAAACCAAATACACGACTTAACAGGGAAATCGATCATAACACTGTATAAGAATGTAAATATTTGAGTTCAATATAACTAAAATAACATGTTTTGCAAGTTCTAAAATTATTCATTACAATATAAACTACTGAATAAGAATGATAGTAGTAGTAGTAGTAAACAGTCTAGAGTAGCATGCAAAAGCTAACTCACCGATATGCTTGATGCTAATTACGATTTCTCAGTAAACAAACGAAGGTCAATGACACAGTGACACGGAGGGCTGATCTAATCCGTTGTACCAGACCGCGCTAATTAGAGTGAGAAATTCAAGACGAAGTAACGGAAAACATATTCCGCAAGCAGCCAAAGTACAATCAATCATAATAGGAAGAAATCAACCACATTTATACAGCATAAAGTTGTCCTTCAGAACCATTACAAAATAACACACTAAAATGATACAACGGACAAATAGCGTTTACGATATCTCCAAGTGGGAAATACGATTTGAAGGTGAAAAGGGCGCTTTTGGCGCGAAAACAGGGAAATTCAATTGTTCAAAATAAAATTACAAAAATAAGTCATTTACCAAATACGTTCTGGAGACTTAACATCCCCAACACTCACGTAAAGGAAATCAAATTAAAATAGTCCAGAAATGAGAGATGGTTCCTTTTCTACTAAAAATCATAATGACTGGTTACTTGAGTCCATTAAAACTAATATAGTCAATAACCAATGTCGAATACTTACAGAGCTATTGATTTTGGAGATTGATTTATAGCTATATCATGCTCTACAAGTTCCAAAATTATTCAGTACAATATAAACTACTGAATAATAATGATAGTAGTAGTAGTAGCAGTAGTAGTAGTAAGCAGTCTAGCGTATCATGTAAGAGCTAACACCCATCATCATATAATGTCTGGTAATATGTCGAGCTCATATATCTTATTCTAGCTTGTGAATAGGCTAATTTATCCATTTCCCTTAAACTACATTTTGAACTTGTTAAATATCTGCTTATTAACCTTGACTGTTTTATATGACCGTTTGATCTAATTGAGTGTCAAAATGAAGGGACCCACTAAAACCATATATTGTACAGTAAGCAACAGTACTGATAATAATTTCCTATTTACTTATCAAAATGGTGTAATTTTATTTTTATTGTAGTTCATTGTCTATACCATACTATATCATTGTAGATAGATATATAATGAGTTATAATGTATCATTAGAATGAAATCTTTCAATTCAATGATGAAATTACAGTGTAACTATAAAACAGTTAATGTATCTCGATTTCACGTTCAGTTATTCTGAACGTTGCATTATGGAGAGGTTGGTATAGTTAAATCAATAGTATAAAGTGTTCGGTTTCACGAGATGACTCTGCAATATAAAAAGTATCACAATCGACACATTCTATTTTCCAGGTGCAATTGTGTGTTGGCATAAATGGGAT